TGTCAACATATACTTCTGACTCAGGATCTATTGCTGAGAAAGGAAAAGGACTTCTTCAAGGGCTGGGAGTATCTCCTCATCACAACGATCACTGTAAATAACTTTTATGTAAATCTTAGCCATTGATTGTGTTCTCCTGTAATGGTTATATGCAAGGGACTCATCCATAAACACCTTTATTTTGAAGAGATTCTATAGAACAGAAGAAACCTATGCATCCATTCCTTTATCTGAGTTTTTCTTTCTAAAAATATTCATGTTATTTTCATTATAGTGAGGCTTGTAGAAAGAACCAAGAACTGAATGCAATCATGCTAAATACTTCACAGATGGTAGGAGACATGATGTGACCTAAAGGCCACGCGTTTACAGAGGTGAAACAGGTTGTTGAGGTCACTTACTAGATCAGCAGCAGAGCTAGTAATCTGGAATGCATTAACTTCTCTATTTTGCACCCCGCCTTTTCAGCCTGCAGCCTTTCCAGATGCCACCAGATAACTGAAGTCACCATTTGTCTTTGAAATCTCCTTTTAAAATTGACAGAAAACACAGGTCTTCTGATTCTGCCTGTGAATCTCTCTCCTCACTATTTGCCAGACTCTCTTCTGGCTTTCTCACACTGCCAATATCAGACTTATTTATTAAAGTCTTATTTAGCTATTTTAATTATTGTAACTTCATACTTCTCCTTTAAGCTTGGGCTCCTGTCTCATTTTGGAGGCACTCTGAGTCTCTTCAAAGCACAGAACCTGTTATAATTTGTCCCCTGCAGCAGACAAATGTATTTATGTAGGCATTCAGTATACACATAGCTTTTTCTACTAAAAAGTGGACCCAACTCAGTTATAAGTTAGAGTTGCAGTATATTCTGTGCCATGCAACAAGCAACTGTGTTGTCAATTAAGAGAGAGAAAATCATACATATATTTAAGTTCCATTTAAAAGCAAGAAAATTACCATTAGAGATTAGATCTCATGTGGTTTCTCTGTTGCATTGTACGTGACTTTTCTGGCCCTGTATTTAGCCATTACTGATTATATTTGCATGCCAATTCATTTAATAAAATGAAACATAATGAATAAGGTAAAAATAAGGATTTTTACCTGGATTCAATGGCACAATGATCTTGTTTAAACCTCGCCCCATCCTGTTATACTTGTTAGTAAATAGCATTGTCATAACCCTCAAGACTGAAATACCATCAATAACAACTTAAGCAATGAAATAAGGAAGTAAAACTTGCTCTCATTAATGCTTCATGACTCTTTATGTTCCTAGGCACTTTAAGAACATTCCTAAAAAACACACTATTTCATTTTAGAGTATTTAAGGGAGGGCAGACTACAGCTAGAAGAATACACTTGCTTGGAATTTATGAAAGAAGAAGAAAAGGAGACAGACTTGCTTAAACAGGAGCTGAAAAAACTGATGAAAACTGAACAAACTCCTCTACGTGACAGTGTGAAAGAGAACAATAAAGAGGAAGATGCAGTGGAAGAATATGAAAAAGAAGAAAAAAAGCCAGAGGAACAGGTAAATAACAGCGAGAAGGCAGGGAGTAAATGGTCCAAGAAAAACCAAACTGCAGGTATAAGAAACCACACATTCATTAGGCTGAAAAAAACATACATATTCTCAGAAGCCACTGAGAATTTGCATCATGGGCTTCCTACATCAGATACAAAATCCAAAAAAGGCAGTCTTTGCAACCATAGACACGCAGGTCAGGACTGCAGCGAAACAGCTGCATCAAAAGTGAAAAATTCCTTTGGGCTATATGAACCGTCTTTTGGTAAAGTTACCGAAACACGGCGGAAGGACAGTTCCACTGAAGCGGAAGGCTGTGCTCCTGTGACATTTGCTGACAGGAAAAACAGTCTTATGAAAGAACTCTTTGGAGCAGGCTGTGTTTGAAGAGACAACCATTCAAGTTCTAACACGAGAAGAATGAAGAAAGAGAAGTGAAGGGATGCAGGATTACACAAGCCGAATTTCAAACCACCACTACTAACTAGTTCAAAATGTAAAGCATCTGACACTAATGAAATCGTCATGAGAATACACCAACTAATTATTTTATTTGATATTTAGTTAAGTATATCAACTTATCTTTACTCTAGAAATACGGATCATTTTTTAAAAAACCAATATTTTTACCTTCATTAAATGCATATTAAGTCTTACAAGTAGTGAGAATTTCTTTCAATGATTTTTCCAATCAGTTGTCACAAGAGACCATTCTTCTCTTCTTGGTCTGTGCACATGCATGTGCATCTTAGTAAGAGTGCCTTAACGATTATGACATTTTTACCTGTTATCAGGTGTTAGTTAGTTAACTATCAAGTTAGTCCTTGTTGTGTAATTTCCAGTTTTTTGCATTCTCTCTGCAGTTTGAATTTTGAAGGTGATTATTTGTTAGCTAGCTGAAGTGAGCAATCTGCTTTCATAAGGTTCATTATTGGGTTAGTACCAACAATGCAAGAAAAGAAAATAATTTTTTATTTTCTTCGCTCCTGAAATAACTTTCAGAATTCACACATAATAAAAATAATTTGCTATCACATTGTTTTCACTAGCGTTATAAAGCTCTAAAGCGTCATTCTTTTCCACTGTTAGAACTTATCAAAGCAGTTTGTCTGGCAACTTCCACAGCTGACATCCAAAGATGAATGTGCAAGAGTAAACTATTGTTTTGGAGAAGTCAGGCATATCCTGTTCTCAAAAAGCCTTTAAAAATCCTGTGTTTAAGGTTATGTAAGCGAGGGTAGGAGGATTACGTTTTGTTCCTCATAGTAATTCATGAAACGTTTGCTAGAATGTGAAGTTAGGGGAAACTATGTGTGTTCTATTAATTTTAAAAGACAGTAGCACTTAAAAAAAAACTTAAAAAAATTATACCGCAAAAGGTGATCAAGACATTTAGATCCGAACCTACTTGCAGCATATTTCTTTTCAAAATTTCGAAGGTTTTTCTTGAAGTAGTGCTTAAGCTGTACAGTGGACGGGTTTCAAAGAATGACTTTGTGCAGTCAGAAGAGTAGGCGTTTCTTCTCCATGAGGTATCAATGCTTCCACAACACCATTACTGCTGTCCCAAAGCTAAGAGCAAACAAGCGTACATAACCCAGCACTCCTACTTGTGCTGACTAGATGGCCAAAACCCTTTCTGCCCTTACTCACCCCAATGTTTGACTACGGCAGCCAACAAAATGCATATTTGATGACCCCATGCTAAGCGTGGATAAACAGCAAATGCCATCGTGGAGATTTTAAATGATGCTGCTTTTCTTGACTTCACTGTGCTAAATTCCGTAACAAGCTAAGTAGAAATATCATTAGCCACATCTTCAGATTCAGAAATATGTCAATGTCATAGTTAAATAAACTGTTCCGAATACTTAAAAAAACACAATAAATTAGGCCTGTTGATTCTAACAGTATCTCTTTATGCAAGAACATGGTAGGGGGGTGTTGGTTGGGGTTTTGGGGGGTGGAGGCGTGGGTTTTTTTTAGGAAAACTGTAATTAACATTGAAAAACGGATTAGAAAACTTGAGATGGGTTGAAAAGCTTTATTTCATTAATAAAAACACAACTATACATAACATTCAATCACAACTTTTTTTTTCTTGATGATATTTAATGCATCTATTTTCATGTGGGCTAACTGTAATCCCTAATATAAAATCAATTTTTTTAAAATTAACATTTAAAAAAAAAAATGTTCACAAACAAAGCAACGTTTCATGCATATATATATATATATACACAGACACACGATGTATCATGACCTTTTGAACTGATTTCTAAATGCCGTGCTAATTATGGAGGGGCCCTAGCCCCTTCCGGCAGGAAGGCAAAGGACCCGAAGTAACAGAACAGATGCATTCCACTGTAGAGAGCGGGCAGCTGAGCCAGAATCGCCAAAGCCCAGCAGAAGAGGGAAAGGTGTCCCCTAGGGCTTTGTTCAGGCTCACGTCAAAAAACAAAAGGGGGTGTGGAACAAGAACTTTTTAAGCCACCCGTTTGTCTTGCGAGGCAGCAACGACAGGGTTGCAGATACCTCTGTAGCATGGAAGATAACGCAACTTTGTTGCTGTTGTACAGGCACTGTACTAGGAGGAATTCTGTCCGCCTTTAAATTCAAAATATTGTGGCTACTTCCTGTACCTAAATACAGCAAGAAGGATTTACTCCAAAAGAGAAAATTGTTTTCCCTCCTCCTCCTGCTTGCTACCATTCTGTTACTACTTTAGACATTTAAATCACTGATTTGCCTTTTTACATTTACATAGCCGTTTCAGGTTACCCTGGACTGTCAGTAATATATGCTAAAGCCCTTAGAAATGTAGTCCTCCGAAGGCACAGCACTGTCTTCTACTTTCCCTTTCTTAACACGGAGCTTGAGAAGGCTGGCCAGACCTTTCTTCCCAAAACACAGAAGGAAACAGTTTCAGTGATCCTCACTCAGTTTGGGAAGCAGAAAAAACATCAAGGAAGGACAGATCACTTATCAATAAAAGTAGGAAAAAATTCAAGGGTTCAATGACATTTTCTAAGACAGCCCAAGAACACACCAATTCTAGTGTAAAAAACAAGGAGGGAACTAATTCTGTTTTACCCTAAGCCAACGAAACCACCTACCTCTATCCTCTAGTACCACTTGTCACCAAATATAATCCCCACCTTTGGGTGAAACTGGCATATTATACAGCAAAGAAACAGCAAAGCTCCCAAATTAATTCCTAATGCCAGTGCATTTCCAGCTTAAAAATACAAATCCAACACTTTCAGATTTTGGCGAATATATGCCATGACAAAGTCTTACAGTTCTGCCACGAATCAGTGTTCATACTTGTCAAAATAGACACAAAATGAGGTTCTATAAACAGCAATGCTATTCTTTGAAAACTGACCACCAAACAGAAAAACAAACTAAGGAAACAGAAGATAAATCCAAAGGAATATTCACTGATATCCAAATGAAGTAACAAAGATTATCTCAGACCTAGTCTCATGAAAGACAACTGTTCCTTTTTGGTTTTTTTAATTAATTTAAAACGGTGATAATGAAAATGTAGTTGAGGACTCCATGGATTACTGGGATTCCTTCAGCTGAAAGGGTGTAGCATGATAGCTACAACTTTATTACAAACCACAAGCCAACATGTAATTCCAACACCACCTGAAAGAGATATAAAAGACGATTTAAATCATTGCATCAATAACCCTGAAGCACAAAAGCTTCTGAAAACAACTTTGGAAGTGTAAAAAACAAAACTTAAGAGTTATGAGGTGAAAAGGAACAAAACATCTTTCTTTTTATATACAAATATCTCTCTTCAAGGGATGGCAGCTAACTCCGTGCTGGTCCCGAGAAAACCTGAAGATTGTCTGGGGAAAAGAGTACCAAATAACACAAATATGAGCCAAAGTGCGGTAGGTAGAACCCACAGCTTCTAAAAACATTTGCTATGTACCTAATGGAAAATGTCTAAGGCATGGCAAGTAACAGAATACTTTGCCAGAATCTAAATTCAAGATTTGAGATAGGTAAAAAGTAAATTTCCTCCGAAATTTACATCAGTCTTTTTAAAAGTATTAAATGCATACTTCTCTCCTTTCCCCTTGCTCCCCATACAGCTGTATAGAAAAAGGCTACTGAGACCTTTGCTACTGACCCGGGTGCCTTGCACCGCTGTTTTAAAGGGTCCTGCCATCCCAGCCAGCAGCACAGAAATCCCTATTGGTATGGTGGAATGGAGGGTGTGCCCTGACTGTCCTACAACACAGCACTTCCACCTTGCAGACTACATAGAATCATGCTACATAGTATCATGGAATACATAGCTATTCATAGCACACACGTGAAGAAACTACCTTTTTGGTGATTTTTAGACATTTTTGTGTTTATCACCTAGAATTCAAAAGTGATCTCTTTACTGTGATTATCAGCCAAGACAAAGAAAAGGAGATTTGAAGGCAGGCAGGGATGTGAACCTTTTAAAATCCCTTCAAATGCTATTTAAATAAATGTCTTCCGAGGGCTATTTCCCCACCCTGCACAGAAGCAGACTCTTCTCTTGTCCAGTGAGCTTGCTGGATACAAATCATTCTCTAGACAGCTATTAAAGACACAACAGCATACAATTCCAACAACATATTTTGCAATTCCTTCTAAGGCAGTTGGGACTTAGAAGCCTAACATGACAAGTCACCAGCAGCATTTTAGCTTGATGGTAAATTTCCACACCACATTGTCCTGTCATTCTGCCCATCTACCTTATGCTGTTAGCATAGAGCCAGCACACTTGTCACTGAGAAACAGGTATCTACAAACTGTAGTATCGTTCTGATCATTAATTCGCTCAGCTGCCCAAAAGAAAAGGATTTAAGTAGGTAAAAATGCAACAGAAGTGCAATGGGAAAAAGGGTGGGAACAGACAAGACAAAATGCCAAGAGAGAGCATACCTTAAATTGTTTTGGAGTTACAGTACTATGAAACCCCAGCAATTTATAAGAAACGCATGTAAGTGATACAGACCTATGAAGTATTTGCCCATTTTTAAACCCAATTCTGCTATTTCAGTGGACTCCTTAATATAAAAATATTCCTGATTTGAAATCTTCTCCAGGGTCTATTGCATATAGATAAAGATAAAGCTGCTCTGTTTGAGAAGAAATAAAAATGACAAATAGCTCATTTCATTGTCAGTTAAATAAACAAGAATTGAATACATAGGAAACAGCTAATCAAATGTTTGAAACTCCTCCCTGTGTTAAGGGAGTTAGAAGAAACATACAGAAACAGTGCTTTTAATCTGTGCATGCTCTTCATCACCACATTGTTAGCATCCCCATGGGCTTGGGAAATGGATCTTTTCTACTGTATGGTCCTTACCTGCCACCCCCGTAGGAAAGGCTACCAAGCGCTCCAGCGGAGCAAGCCATTTGCTCGGAAGCACTGTAACTGGCTCAGAATAGTACTTCCAAATGAGACAGATCATCAAGGCAGCCTAGAATTGAAATTTTTATTAGTTTGGATAATAATACACATCAAAGTACATTTCCACGGCTATTTTGAAGCAGTAATTCACAAATTCTAATTAAAGGGAATAGTTTCTTTGTTATTTTACACTGTTCTTAAGCAAACTTAGTATGACCTTAACTTTATGCACAATATTAAGAGGTAGCAGTGAGACGTTGGAAAATACTGCTTTCTTTTGAGACCCTGGTTCAAGTCTAGCACAGACAAACACAGTAACAGTAACTGTTAAATTCTGGTGACTGTTTTTAGCCATAATCCTTGCCTGCTAGGAATCCAACTAGCTTTAACATTACCCTAAAAACATCTTCAGGTTGACCACTGTCATCCTTATTACCAGACAATTCTTTGGCACCAAGTCTGAACTACAGAGACAATCTGATGAGGCACTGTGGCAAAATGTGCAGCAGCTGCAAGTGGAGATTTGCATCCTCATCAAAAGCACGTTTTGTTTTCAAAAACATAAGCAAAATATATTTACAGGTATCAGAACCTTCTCGGTTCCAGTGCCGTATATAAATGAAAAAAAGAAACAGTGATGAAAGAGCTAAGACAAACTCCTACCTTGTCATCTCAAAACCAGAAACACAGGGCTGAAATGAAACTCAAACCTCCTTCCATCCACAACTACCAGACCTTACCAGCAACATCACTCCTTTCTGTTTCAAGAAACTGTTTCAGTTTGGCATGCACTGTGTCATTAGAACGTCAAACACCTGTGTGACTAATCATTGTCCAAAAAAATGCAGAGGAGAATGGTAACACTACTGGGGATTTGGTTTAGTAATTTGTATTCCTAATAAAATATGTACTTACTTGTAAGATGTAGAACACAATATTTATAACCCACTTTATTTTGGCTAATTGGGCAGTTCGTGCTTTCACTGTTAAAAAAAAAAAATTACTCTGCATTATTTATAATAGTGTATTAGACTTCCATAAAACTATTAATGTATTAATATTTCACTCTTCAAATCAGGACATTACAGTGTTTAAAAATCTCTTTTCAAATGACTCATAGCTATATGGAAAGTACCCTTCTGCAAGAAAGTGCTAGGTCCTTATCACACCGTAGTTTCTTATTAACACTATTATGAAAAGTTGCAAAACACTAATATCCTAGACAGAGAAATGTCACACGTAATCAAGAACACTATTCCCAAATGAGAACAGCCACTGTGGTTACTAACTTAAGAACTTGCTTCAGACGAAGCATAAAGTAAACTTTCCCCTCTCCTAAAAGGGGAGAACGATGGCTTTAGCAGATGTACTTTTTGCCTTATTCCATTCAGGACCACAGTTAAGACTATTCCTTCATTGAATGAACGTTGGTGAGGTTCAGTATTAAAACTTCCCATGCCTATTTTTCTTCTGTTGCAGTACCTCAAACCAATAGAGAGAAGCCCAGTGAAGAGAGCACATCTTCAAACATAACGGCGGCCTAAAGTTTTCTAAAACGATGTTGTTGGTTGCTAAGTAAACTACTCAAATCTAGTTTAACTGAAATTATTGGGTTAAGAATTACACTACTGAAAGCAATCCAAAACTGCCAGTTGTAAATATTGTCCTTTCTCCAAGCAAGGAGCCTATAAACATCCATCCATTCCGCTCAGAGGAGGCAGACAGAGCAAGTAGTCTCCTACCTTGTTAGGATCGGTTAGTGAGTTTGGGCAAAGACAAGAGCAAAAGCTCTGGTGCCAAAGGTTTACCTGTACTTTCTACCACGAGACGATGGACTATGCTACTCCCAATGGAGGCAAAGCACTACAGCTTTATCGCAAAAGCTGCTGCGTAAGATCAGACAGGATTGCAAATTGACAGGAAAGATCTCATCTGGTTACCTTATAGATCAACGTTTTCTCTCTAGCATTTTGTAGTACACCAACCAAATAGCCCCAGCCGAGCAATGCACCCTTTTGCAGTGAAGATACGCAGCGGAGGTCTTCCTCGACTTACTCAAAACATGATTCAGTGATGAGCATCACTGAGAAAGAGTAAATAATTACACAGTGAAGCCCAGGAAATTCTTTGTAACAAAAAATTTATATCTAAATCCCTCCCTTAGCAGTGTATGCAGAACTATGCACAATTGAAAGACAAAAGCAAGCTCTCCAAAAACTTTAAAGAAAAGAAAATGAAAGAAAGAAAAGAAGAAGGGAGAACTGGAAATGGATAAGAGAGGGAGGAAAAAAGTTGAAGGAGAAATATACTTAAAATTGAAAACACTCTTGACAAAATGTTTTTCAGAAACTAGAAAAGGGAGTAAACATTGCACTCTACCGTGAGTTTTAAGCTTGTCGGTCATTTTGTTAATCTTTCTTTCCAGACGGGCATATCTAGCAAACTCATCCATCATACTAATGGTTGAGAGTTCTTGCTTCATGTTCTGAATTTCAGCTCTCATTTGGGATTCCTGCTCTGCATCCTTTTGTAACAATCTGGATATCTAAGAAGTAAAGAAATAGTATCAGTTATTTATCCAGAATTCCACTGGTTTTCTTTAATATGTATAAAGTATGATCTCCTGTTTACATACTCCAAAGCCTCCCATAAAAAAGGCCCTTTCATCAAGACACGGGAAAACCTTGGCTTAACAGTTGCAACATGTTCTAAAAGCCAAAGAATTTTTACTCTCTTGTTCTGACTGAAGCAAACAAAAAAGGGTTTTACCGTCCCTGTAGGGCAGTGATTTTCAACTTGTCTAACTATGGTTAACTGCCTTTTCCTTCTCTATTTCTGTCTTCATCTCCTCATCTCCCCACTCTCGACGACGCTGCCTTCTGAGACCTTTCAAACCTCCCAGGCCCTGCCTGCCGCTGCGTCCTGAGCTGAACTGCTGTCTTCCCTCCTTGCAATTCTCATCATGCACGGCTTGGATGACAAGCGCCTGATACGCGCAGGAGAGGAAGGGCCGGGGAAGCACTCCTTTTCATCACTACTCTTTCCAGCTCCAGCAATGTCCCTTACTCATTCATCATTCCCTTTTCCAGCTCCAGCAGCTTCAGCAAGGGTTTAAACTAATTAATGTGGAAACTTTATTCACTGAAGCCCAGTTTTAGACCTCACCAGTAATGGATGGCTCACCCATCGGGAATCACTCCTCTAGATTACAGATTGCCTAGCCTGGGGGCTGTTAGAAACACAGGAATTGCCATACTGGCTGAGAGTTGTCATCCATCTAGTGCAGCATCTGACCGCTACCTCAAAACCAGAAACACAAATTTGCATTAGTTACTTTTCCTACATCTCACCTGTGTGTTTAAATATGGCTTTCTTATAACATCTTATTGGTTTCTTGGCTAAAATTATTTCCTACCAACGTAAATGTAAAAAAGTAATCACGCGTTGTGTTACCAAACGTTTTCTCCCCTTCTTTTACTTTTCTGCTTTCTTTTCATGAGGCACCACCTGCTTGTTGGTTCATGAACTCCCTTTACCATAGAAATGAAGACACAAAGAGCATAAATCCTTTTTCTTGCTGTTCCTTAGCAAATCTTTCTAGCTTTCTCATGACACGTGTAATTTTTTCCCCACAACTGATGTTCTCATTGACTACACTACTTTCTGTCAGGAACCACAGCAGAACATTGAGCAGAGATTTTCATTAGTCATCTTTAGTAACACTGAGTTCAGCGTCCCAAATTGCTAAGAGTAATTTATGTTTGCAGGATTTTTATCCATTATCAAACAGTGTGCACTGATCTGTGTGACAGTGAAGTTATTTACGCAAAAGAGCAGAATGATAGGCATTTCAGCGTGCTTGCTCGCATGTAAGTTTATTTGGCAGTCACAGAGTTTACTGGTCCATAATTCTGTTAGCCACACTTCCACAGGAATGCATAAGATCAGACCAGGGGCATCCCGCTTAGTGACTGTGGCTTAAGGTTTTCTCCCATGATGCCTGGCTCCTTAATCACAGTATCCACTGACCTCTCTTCTCAACAGCGTGGGACCGAGCAAAGCTGTCCTTTATGTTCCCTGCAACGTCCTACGGGCTGGAGCCTCATTTGGGACACTGGTAACTCATGACCCAGAACTTGGCCTCAAAGACCCGCTTAACCAAGGCTGCTGGAGGCAGCCGCTGTCACGGTGCCCGGTTTCACCGTCTCCAGTTCTTCCCGGCACCAGCCGCTCAAGCTTCTCCTCTCCTGAGGCAAGGAGCAGGGCCAGGCCCCGCTGGTGGCAGCCGGGGATGCGTTACGGGCACCGCCGGGCACCGGGAGCCCGCCGGGCACGGTGCCGCCTCCCCCGCCTCCCCACTTCGCCCCAGCTCTCGCCTG